GAGATATACGTTCGATTGACGATAAGAGAACAGCCAATCCTCGGGCGCTCGCGCCTCTACGAGGGGTTCTCTCGCTTCTCCTCTTCGGGGTGCCCTCGGTGACGAGCGCCGACGTCCGACGTCGCGAGATAGAATCCACGTCGGCTAAAATCTCCCCCTCGCATTAATACCTGCCGGCAGCCGTGAGAGCCTCATGAATAATATTACCAGGCGCGTATCGACGCGAGCCTCCCCTCGCTTCCTCGACCACGTTGCGCGTCGGAAGGCGCGAATTTAGATTTTCAAGACCGATCCGGTCGCCGGCCGCTCTCGCGCAGCCGCTTCTCCGGCGGGACGAGCGAGACGTAAGGCAAGACAGAGAAAAACTCAAGTCGCGAAAGTCTTTGTACGACTTGAGTTTTTCTCTGCCTTGCCTTGCGACATCGACTCCGTCAAATTGACGTCGATTCGACATCATTTCGACATCAATCGACGAGCCCATTTCTCACTGAGCCTTAGTGGTAGACGTAAGGCAAGGCAGAGAAAAACTCGAGTCGTGAAAGTCTATTGTATACGAGTCTGCGACTAAGCCCCGGTGAGAAATGGCTCGTCGAATCGACATCGACACCGTCAAATTGACGTCGATTCGATCATTTCTGGGGACAGACTTAAGACTTTGCAGGAAGACGTTCTCTGCCATCGGCCTAACTTGTCCGCGGCGCGAAAACAAATCGGCATGCGGGAGATCGATCGCGGATACTTAAAATAACCGCGAGAAAGCCGAGGTCCCTCTCGCTAAAACCCAGTGAGAAATGGCTCGTCGATCGATGTCGAAACGACGTCGAATCGGTATCGACAGATTCAAATTGATGTCGAATCAACGTCAATTTGACGGTGTCGATGTCGACTCGACCTCGTTTCGACATCGATCGACGAGTCATTTCTCACCGGGAGTCGTTCCCAATTATGTGGTCTCTAGATTTTAAGTAATTACCGTCGCGCGATTTCGTCCAAATCAACATGAGAAATCTGCAAAAAGACTATTTTGACGAGCCGCATTGAAGGGGAGGACAGTGTTCGTCGCCGAATCGTTCAAAGAGAGATCTCATTAAATTCCAGTCAAGTTTTTGCCTTCGCAATATCGGATCTCTTCTCGTTCCCGATCTTTTAAGATCGCAATTATAATACTCCCCCCCCCCCCCTTTTTTACGCGCGGTACCGCGTGGAATCTTAAGTTTCGCAAGGGGACCGTTTCGCGATACGCTCGCCAAATCCGCTTAAACCGATTTCCTCTTAAATCAATATCGCGACATTGAGGTTCCGTGAAGACGAAGGCGATCTCCGTGGGATCTCAGTCACGCGATTATCCGAGTGTCTCGTGTCCGGAGAAATAAATCGCCGGGGACCTCGGCAGCGACAAAGTGGCCAACGGCCTCCGGTTTCGCGCACGCGCGAGCGTTTCGCGTATCGCGCGCGCGTAAAAGACCCATGAGACCACCGTCTACGCAAACTTTCGCGGAATGTTCTTTGTCGGTCCTTTGTCGGAATCGACAAGTCATCGTGTCGCGCATGCGACGTGCCTCGTATCCCCAAGAGTGTACGGTGTCGCTACGTAGAAGTAGTACGTGCGAGTATCCCGGTAGCGCGGGGTGCGAGCGCGGTGACAAGCAATTAGCAGCGGCAATTAGCACCGAGCGAGAATCGCCACCGCCGGCGCGCGGATCGTGCCAAGGATGTGGGTAGAGAGCCGCTCTCGTCTATTCGCGGCTTCGAACCTACCTTCGGCGACCGGCGCGAACCAGTTCTTTTTTTTTTTCTCTTCCCTTTCTTCGCAGCGCGCCTCGATACGCGCGAATGACGCGCGCTGCCCAGCGTTTACGCCAGCAAAGATGTTCACCCTGATAATCGGGGCCTTATTCGACGCCGAGATATAAAGGATAGTTGATTCTGCCCGGCTTGAGAAAAATCCGTCTCAATTTATACGCGGATAATGGGAGAGCGGGAAAGAGGGGTGATATACCGGCGCGTTAAATAGTCGGATGTTTTATCGGGTAGTCGCCGGCGATACCGGTATCGAATTTACAAGGTGCGTACATGCATCCGGCGTATTTGCGGACAAGGCTTCGGGAGCGCTGCCTTCAGCCTTGCAACATCGCCGCGGCGAATTCCGCTGTAAACAAGCAACCGCGGATGCTCCCTTCGATCATGAGCGCCCGCAAACACTGCAGCGCGCGGGCACTTTCTCCTCGCCTTCTGTGCGTCCAGGTCCAACCTAATTAACCACTAGTCCCACGCGATACGTGGCGTTCAACTCGGCTCCACTTTTCCACGATGTTACGAAGGGAAACGGTATACTTTCGGCCGCTCTCGATGCACGGGCGACAGCCGGCCGCGCGACGACTCGACAGGTGTTTATCAAATATCTGCGGTAATTGACACGTCTCGTAACGCGTTTCCACGTTTCCGAGAAGCGACGAAAAGCCTGAAGGTGACGCGCCTCCCCTCGCGCGTTCATTAACATATCGACGCTTTTACAAGCGCGTTTATCTCTCGCGTTCGGGATAAAGAGCGTCACACGTGAAAAATCGCGGCCGGCCTCCGTTCTCCGACGGCGCCGAGATCCGCGCGCGCGCGCGTTTGTTTCTCTCATCCACAGTGGTGCGGGCGCCGCGATTCGCGAACAAGTCGGAATCCAGATATCTCTCTCTCTCCCTGTCTCGGTTGTAGCGCAGTCGAAGTAGTGCAGGACTTTTTTACTTGATTTAGTCTCAGGAATATGCTGTTGCAATGGTGTTTCAGTTATTGACAATTTTTGCGCATTGTAACACATGAAATTTACATACAAAAAATTGCCTTCTCACTCACCCGTACTTTTTATAGTAATTTCTTGCTCCCACGCTTTAGTCCCAGTCTACAATAGATGATTTAAGCCCTAAGCTTTAAGAAATTGGCCAATCACGGTCAAGTATGAGTAGAATGCGCGACTGTCATTAGTCAATTTCTTAAGGCTTAGGGCTTAAATCTCTATTGTAGACTGGGACTTGGGGGAACTGACCCAGAGCGTGTAATAAATAATGATTCTGATTCTGATTCTCGGTGGCGGTGATTTTTCTCCCGATCTTCGCGGCGTTATCGCGCGCTCGCGGGAACCCGGAGCGGATTGTTCCGGATTGTCTCGAGCGTACCCGCGGCTATCTCGACGGAACCGCCGTCGGAGAGATGCCGGCGCCAATGTGGACGCATTTTTTGTCGGTGCGCTCTCGAGAGCGCTCTCGTGACCCACCATGCGCGACGACACGGTAATTTCCAATTACCGCGCGACCGGCCCTTCGACCAACCCCCATTATTGTAACGAGAGAAGTTAAAGGTCGATCCGGTTACACGGATCTCTTCCTGAAAGTGGCAGCGCTCCTCCTCCGTGCTGCGTGACGAAGATGCGAATAAAAAGGCGGTCTCTATCCCGCGATAGCGGAGATAAACTCGGCGTTACATGTAAACCGACGTCCTTTTATCGCGAATGTCGCCCTATACGTCGGAAAGCAAAATTTCTAATGTTAAAAGGAATAGAAAGGCATCACTCGATCTCGGTTTCCGTGTAAAAACGAGTCCACTACCCCATGCAGCACAGAAAGTTAAAATAATGTTGCTGAAACGTTGCAATGTTGAATGTTGAAGTATATCTTTTCTACGTTAAATCCAAGTTAATTTTTGCACATTGATTCTTCATGTTGCTCCAACGTTTACACAATAGTAAACGAATGATTATTTTTTAATTTAATACTCAATTCCTAACAAAGTAGTCCTGAGAAGGTGAATATATCGTGACCGAGGCTGGACGACGATATGCTACTCTTCTCTTTTTTCCTCTTCTCGCTTCTCTTTCTGAACTGGATATTTCGTCCTCGTCGTCGCCGTTGCCGCCGCTACTTTTAGTTGCATTCGCGGCGCCGTTTCTGGCGGCGTAGTGGTGGTGCGATGATGACGATGGTGCTGTGGAGTATCCTCTCTGACGTAGGTGGAATCCAGTCGCGCAGCGATCGCAGCGATGTGCAGGCGCGAGTCCATTATGCATGTGCATATGTTGCGCCTCGAGGAGACAAGGGCAGGGGGGGGGGGGAGGGGAAAAAAGAATCTCTGACACGGTGAACCGCTTCCTTTCCAGGTTCCAGTGGCCGAAGTGGTCCTCTCGCGCGTAACGCGCGACCGAGGATGCTTCTTTGTGCCGGCACTTCCGTGAATCCCCATCGGGACTCGAGATATTCTTGGATTCGGTCGACTTGCGAACGCAGCTCGATAGTTTCCGACAATCGTAAGCTGCTTGGAGGAATCGGCGAAGCGAAAATATTCGCGTAGGTACAGACGCCTCAATTAACCGCTGTCCATTTCTCGAGTATCGCGAGCACCGCGAACGCAAGCTCGGGAAAAGTGGGACGTTTCGAGGACTGAGTGGGCAGTGAGACAACGCCGTTGAAAAGTGGCGTGCACGATCGGCTCTTATTCTCCACGAGTGGCCTATCGGCCGGTCGTTAGCCTGATTAAACGGGTCCTCGTCCCGAGGCACTTGAAATGTAGCGCGTAAAAGTACGATCGAGAGATTTGCTTGCAAAGCCTCACACTCGCCGGCTTGTACTCTCTATATGGAACTACTTTTGATATCCGTGCATTATACACGATATAAAATATGTGATGTTGTATGGGTACAATTTTACATATACGCGCACGCGATAATTTCATCGCGGATACCTGTACGTGCGTGCAGTCGGCGGTAAAATTGCAATCGTCAAATCACAAGGCTCGCGTCTCTTTCTCCCGCGCGAGAGGAACAATGAGTCCCGCTACTTTATTTACATACTGAAGCGCTATTTCATGTCCACCTATAATTACGAAGTCAGACGAGGAGGAGGATTTCAGGCTGACCCTGGAGGAGGAGAATCGCGGCGGGTGGACGCGGGGGGGTCGAGGGGAGGAGGCCCAGGGAGACGCGGCTCGGGGGTCTCGGTGTCGGTGTCGGTGTCGGACTCACGGCGTGCTCTCCGGCGCGCGAAGGAGGAAGAGAGCGAATCGGAGAGGAGCGCGCAGAAGGAGATTCGTGCTCTCGTTGACTCCGGCAGCGGCCAGTTCCAGACTCGGCGCTGGACCGTGAGCCACGCGCGATCTCTGTCTCTCCTCTCGCTCTTTCTCTCTTTCTCTCTCCCTCTCCTCCTCTCTTTCTGACGCGCGCGCGGCCGCAAGATGTGAAGATCGACGTCGACCGCGTCGCACAGCGAGGTAGAGCCCGTTCGCCGTCTCGATGATGGAATGACACCGCGCGCTTTGGCTCGCTCCGTGTGCGCGGCCGAACGCGGAGAGTACAGGCCGTAAGGGCGAGAGTGCGGATCGAGATCGCGGGTCCCGGCCAGCCCGACGGAGAGCTTTGGACGTCGGGGTGTACGCGGTTGGATAGACCGCTCCGAGTTTGCGAGAATCTGCGGGAGGGAGGAGAGATCGGGTGATACCGCGAGTGCGCCAGGCGTTGAAGTCTCCGTTGCGCGCGCGTTTTTACCACGCGACACCAAGTCCGCGATCCACAGCTGCCATGATCTACCAGTCGAATCATCAAGCGCCGACGATGTCGTCTATCAGGAAGACGTCGCCCGGACCGCAACGTCGTAGTTTGCAAGCGTCCCCGGTGAAATGCGCCAAGACGAAGCGGGCGAACGATCGTGCGGTCAACGAGGAGAGATGTAGAGGAAGATGCAGAGTCCAGTGGAGCGAGAAACACGTCAAGGAGGGCCTGGTACTTGTCCAGGAGGCGCAGCTGGCCAGGGTGGTCAAGACGGGACCTATCACAGAGCACTACGAGATCGACCCGAAACCGTTCGCGAGGTGAGTCGATTCGCGCTCCGTCATGTGGCTAGGAGGCGCGCAAACTAAATACAAAGTAAAACTGCGCGGTTTCACAACTCGCTGATCAAAACGTTGTACAATTATATACGCAATCGCGGTGCGTCTCTCGCGTTCTTCTCGTAGAGATCGAAGAGAGATTGACAAGAGGTCCGGAATGGCCTGTGAATTCCTGGAGGAATTTTTCGACGAAAGTCAGCCGTCCAGCTACGCGCGTTATTTACTCCCGACGATCTCGTCGCTCCCTCGTCGCGGCTCGCATCGCGTGCAACAAGCCACGCACAGTGATTAATCGCCCTCGGATGCGACGCATAATTTGTCAAAGCGTTACGCACGGTAGCGATATGCGCAACGATACGTGACGCGCGTCGCGCATTAATCATATTTATTACATCGCCGCTAATCGCCGCGCGAATTAGGCCCGTAATGACCAATCGCCGACGAGCGGTAGCGACGAGGCATCGGTAATAGGGCACCGATTGCCCAACCTGCAATTTCTCTCGCGCTAATAATTTAATTCAGAGTCGCGCGAGAACGCGCCTGTGTTGCATGGCACACGCACGCGGGCATTTACGGGCGGAGCTCGTGATTTATCCGCGCGTCGTTAGCCCGTCGTCGGGCTTACCTTTGTTTGTATAAAATTGATCGATTTAACGACTGCCGCGTGTGCGGCGGACATTTTCCGAATAATAATCCGCCGATCCACCGTCGAATTTCTTCTTTTAAATCCCGCGGAATGTAAATTGCCGATTAACGTTATCGTTAACTGTGTCAGGGCGGACGCAGGCTTTAAAGCGGGTTCGCCCAGTTGGTCGTCGCGTTTTTTTGCCGCGCACGTCGGTGTGTCTCAACGAAGCGCATAAATAAATAAATCATTAAATGTGGGATACGACGTCACAGGGCGACAGTACCGGTTTCTCCGCGGGGTGTATTGATTAATCGGGACCGATATCGATCGCACGGTTATTAACCGAAATCAATACAGTGGCTCCCTTTCGCGGAGGCGTGACGAGAGGGACGCGATCGAGCCTACTCGCGCCGACTTTAAGGCGTATCCATATTCATGCGTATGTTAATGCGTCGTTTTAATTTCTCGAACAGCATCGGCGCGCGCACTGATAACTCCACGCACGCCCCGATATCAGCTGCCGCCGCGTGATTTCCACGCAGCGCGTTTGCATCGCTAATGAAGCCGATTTACCTGTTGCTGGCGAGCACAAAGGCGTCCCTCGCATAATATACAAACAGTCGCCATATCGTTGGATCGAGTTACGGACATAATCGCGGGGCTCGCGGTGGGATCTGTGCGTGAATTCGTCGCGATTTTATCTTACGCGTTGGCCGTACGACTTTCTCTCTCTCTCTCTCTCTCTCTCTTCATCTCCGTTCCTCTCCACGTGTAATTTAATAGTAAAAATAAAAATTCGCATCCCCCCGTCGATTGTCAACGACTCGAAACAGAGATTCGGGGATTAATGTTCATTTCTACACTGAGAAAAATTTTCATCGGACAAACCAATTCAATAGTCAATAAAACCATATCTCTTATTGTACTCATTATTTGCGATTTTGTTTCATTTTACATATTATTATTGTACACATTTTGGTTGTCTATTAATTTAATTTGTATCTTCGAGAAGCCTGCAATTCCGATTATCGGTTTGTTCCTTTTAGAATGTGCTCGAGAGGGACCTAAACCTTCGGTCGAAACGTCGCGCTGTATATTTCTTTAATTTTATTTTATTAAACACGTGCCAGTTAGGGTCGGCTAAACTTATTCATTGTTATTTATTACTGGCGGTCTAAAGAGATTATTATGTTTCAATTAAATAGCGTTTCCGATGGTTAGTTTTTCCGATTAAATTATCGATACGTCCGATGGAATTTACCCGATGAAATGCAGTTACCGATGAAATTTGATCGAAAAACCGATTATATTTTTCACCGGATATACAATTTAATTGGATATACCGTTATTATGTAATTGGATTGTCCGATTATATTTAATCGGACATTTTTCTCAGTGTACCAATGTAGATTAACTTTTCATCTCTCTAGCTCCAAGGACTAGAAAAAGATAAGAAGTCAAACCGAGATTTAAGATTAATCTGCCATCGAGTGGAAATGAACATAAGACGTTTTTATACTGCACGACACCCGTGTTTACACGTGGCCGAAACGAAAAGCAAAATCCCGCCAGGGGCGATAGATTTTCATAAATTATTCAGCCGCGCCTCCGTCCGCTCGTCTTTCAGTACTTCCCGATCGCCGTCATTACGGCGGTCGATCGCTAAAATCCAATTTTCTATGATTACTGCCCGTGCCGATCTTTAATAATAGCGAGTACTTTAATCGTCGTGCTGTATACCAGCGGGTATTATCCCGGCGGCGCGTGTCCCACCGATTCCACGCGCTCCGTCCGTGTATGCGCGTGTGCGCGTTCCTTGATACCCGCCCCGTGCCCCGCGATAATTACTTTTGGAAACGAGCCTTGAGCCCCGCGGTAAAAGGGCAGGAAAAGTCGCGCCGCGTATCGCCCCCACCGTCCGGCGTCGTTTCCTTTGTCCCGGATCCCGGGAGGGGTGGAAAAATTCAGGGTACGCCGGCGCGCCTTAAAATTGAAATCGATTAAAGTTAATTGCGCGGCGCGCATTATCAGATGCTCGTTATTCTTATCTTCCGCGGCCGCGGAAGGACGCGGCGGATATCGCCGCGGCGATGAGTCGCCGATTCGCACGCGAGGCACGTTTCACGCGGCGATTCGCGCGACTCCGCACTTCCGGCTCCTGATTCCGAACCCTAAGATTACTCTCCTCCGATTTAAATTAATCGATTACATATTAAAGAATGTACTCTCTAAAAGTGAATCGGTGGATTATCCCCCCTGGCATCCTTCATTGCTCGAATACTTTTCTCCCCGTGACGTTGCTCCTCTCTTCCCTCCACTCGTCGCATTCTTCTACTAGGCAGCTCCGAAGTTCGCCGAAAACCAGCTTCCACGGGACTTTCAGCGATCGCCGATTCGTCGCGCAGAAATATGAAATCGGTGAACATTCACCGAAAACAGTAAATATCTACCGATTCACACCCGAGTCAAAATTTTGGTACTATTTTGACACTTTTAAGGATAATTTACGCCTACATAGACCAGCAATAACCTACTTTGATGACATTGTATTTTTTTACTCCTCCCTTGAATCTTTATTCTAAAAATTTACTTTCCTAAAAGGTTCTACTTTAATGCTAAATTGGCGAAAGTAGAAACTTCCGACACTATCAGTTTTTAAGTACGAGTCAATTTTGTACTTGCAGTTCGACCTCTTTTACTGTCTTAGGTCCTACTATGTAATAGAATTAACATAGGGCCAACACACCTCTACTTATAACTGTCCCGAGTCGAAACGTTGTTTAGCTTTAAGCTTACAATTAGCTCAATTCGTTCTTTGCCTCTTTCTAAAGTTTAAAGTTAAGCGACGTTGGTGAAACCGGGCCTAAGTCGTCTTACTGAAGCCCTGCCCACCTCTGACAACGGCATTATCAAAAACATTAGCAAAATAATGCAAGGTCCGGAAAAGCAAAACGCAAAAGATGCCAAAAAAGTAACATCAAAATGTCACACCTCTAGTTATAAGTGTAACACCGAATAATTCTTAGAACTGCGACAATGCACCGATTGACGTTTAGCGAGTAGAAGACACTCGTATACACGAGTCCCGTAAAGAATTCGCGCCCGTCATTGTTAAACGGATGAAAAATGGAACATCGGGATATTAATGATGTCAATGTAGAAAGTTAATGGTACAGTCTATGATTTTCTCTTGTGGACGGACTCACCGCTGTTTATGTAACACACTCTCCCGTGGATAAAGGCGCTCGGCTCGCTTGAATACGGGTGAAAACGTGAGGTGCGCATTACGAGCACAGCCTTGCCAGGCGCCGCGGTGTCGACCTTGCCGGAATCCTCGACGGCGAGATTCTTTAGCGCGGCGAGGAGCGCGAAATAATAAGGATCATTCTCCGCGAAACGTTAGACGGCGAATAGAACTTGGCCAAAGTGGAGGGACCGGCGAGCGAAATCGTCGCGAGGCGGAAGCCGAAGATGAGACGGCAAGATGAAGTTGCCGCGACGAGGTGAAAAATAAAATTGACCGGGTTCCGTGGAAGACGCGCTTTCCGCGCGACGAATCGGCGCGATCGCCCGAGAGTCCCGCGGAAGCTGGTTTTCGGCGAGCTTCGGAGCCGCGGGGAGAAGAATGCGACGAGTGGAGGGAAGAGAGGAGCAACGTCACGGAGAGAAAAGTATTCGAGCAATGAAGGATGCCAGGGGAGGGCGGAGATAGCGTTCGGGCCATCGACTTGTTTTTCAAGGACGAAATGAATTCAGCGTGAAAACGCAAAGTCAATCGGTGTTAAAAGTCGAAGCGGCATCGGAGCATCCGATCGAACGAGCGGCGGACAATTGGAAATATAAACCGTGCCCCGTCACTCTCCATCATTTTACGTTACGCTTCATTTTATTCTCGCGCGTGCGCGCGCACTTTCGTATCTTATACAATTTATCTCCGGTGATTTTTCACGATGGCCCGAGATTAAAATACACGGAGTATCGCGGGACTACGTCTCGCCCGGGGGGAGGGGGAGGGGGAGGGGGTCTACATCCTTCTTCGTTCTTTTCTCCTCGCGAAATCGTATGAGTGTTAACAAAGGATTTGTTAAACTCAACAGCGGTCAGTGGGCGAGAGTCTACCGCTGCAGGTCGCGTTCGACCGGCATACTTTACGCGGCCAAGTACTCGTCCAGGATCCGATTCAACGCCGATTGCAGCGCGGAACTGAGGCACGAGATCGCCCTGCTGTCTCTGTGCTCGCAATCGCCGCGCGTCGTCAGGCTGCACGATGTCTACGAGACGCCGAAGGAAATCATCTTAGTCATGGAATAGTAAGTTCCCGCATTCTTTTACTCCTTCTTTCCTATCAAATTAAATATCGCGCTTTGAACAGAGGAAAGCCCCCTATTGTGAGACAAGCTCTCAATAGGAGATGAGCAGGGTTTTTGCCAAGTTAACAGGCTATTTGTTACTTTCTTATATTTTTCACAAACGATCGCTCGTTAGCGACGTGACCTAATCGCTCTAAGCATCATCCATCTCCGTTTACTGTTGTATATTACCCCGTGAAACGACGATCTCTTTCTCAGCGCACCCGGAGGCGATCTGCAGACGCTCATCGACGGCGATTTGGTGCCCCTCGAAGGTGACGTTGTACACTTTGTGCGGCAGCTAGTGGAAGGACTCGCCTACCTCCACGAGAGAAATATCGCCCATTTGGACATCAAGGTAAGTTCGGCCCATAAAAGGCCGATGCGAACTTGTCACGCTTCTCTCGCGTATCCGGATCCCGGAACCCACTGTGCCGCCAGAAATTTCCAACTGTTTTCACCGCGCTCGCACACGACGAGGTGGAAGCACGAGGACGACGTTGGAGAGTTTCACGACTGACACGATCCGACTCGCCATTGTCGAATCGTGTTCCACCTGATATAAAATGCCGTCGGCCATTATACGTGTCTGATATATTTCAACACGTGATTAAGTGATCGAACGAGCTCGGACAATCATCGAGCGACAGGTCTCCGTTCCGTAAAAACAATATAATGCGGCTTCGGCGGAGGACAGTTTTTTTTTTTTGCGATCGGTTGCGCTATTGACCGTGTGGGATGATGAACGATAAGCTCTTGGAAACAAATTGGAATTGCCATTTATGGCGCGCACAGGCAAAGATACACACGTGCGCGCGATCGATGTTTGATCATAGGGGCTCCTCGACCACTCAACGAGAGGAAAGAAGAAAACAAATCGTCGCAAATGGAATCGAATGCACGGGCCAGCTCCGCCTCGTTTCGATTTATCGCGAGGGCAGCGGGTCGTTTCGACATCCACGGAAATCGCACTCGCTTTTACGTACGGACGCTCTGTGGAGAAATAAAAAAGAAAAAAGGGACGCCGCGTCGTGTTTGCGACGAACGAGGATGGAAAACGGACGAGTCGGCCGGACTTTCGAAACTTGAGACACCTTAGCGCGCGAGCGATGTTTCTCTCTCCTCCAAGTCGACGGTGTGGATTTCGTTCGCCGTTCATCAGCGAAAAGGAGCCCGCGTGCCAGACGCGCCGCACTTTCAGCATAACGTTTTTCTCGTCGACGAATTATTCTGGGACCCTTCTTAGTCAGCGCTTCGAAAATCGGGCAGCGTCTCGAGCCCCGTCGGGACGAATGAATTGTCCATTGAACGACGGCTCGTTTCGAGCTCGCCTTATTCTTCAAAGCCGTTCTTTTTTTCTTCTTACCGAGTGTCTGGACCTCGTGCAGCGAACGTCTCGGACTGTCTCACTTCTGCGACGTTTTTCTTTTTCTTCGGCCATAAAATTCTTCAACGGTGTTAATAAAGCGCAGACGCACCGTCGATGACATCTACACGCGAAGAGGTCTTTAATCTCAATAATATATACTATAGTTTTATCACCGCGATCCTTTGCTGTACGCGCGCTGCGTAAAAATGTCGGCGGCTTAGAAGTCTGGGAGAACGACGCGATCAGGTCTCGCCTTTGACGCGTTCGGGCCAGAAGCTTTTACCCGGCGATATTTTGATATCCCGTTCTCTCTTCGCGCCGTGTAGTATTCTTTCTTATCAGTTTCCATTAGAGTTGGCATCATTGCCGTTTCTTTCGATGAATTAAGAGGTGCGTTAAAAGTATATCTCACTTTGTTCGGACAACTCGTACATACGTACAGTTTATCTCGTCGTTGACTCATTAATCAAAGAACGCGCCGATCGGCACCGGAGCCGGATTAGCGTTGCGAGGTGAACGTGTACCAGGTTGTAAACTCGCGTGGATATTCGCGGGAAAAAATGAGCCGACGACGACAACAACACGCTAGGAGATGCAGATGCGGCTACGCGCAGTAAAGTGCATTTTGATCCGAGGTCGTCGGAGCCGCTGGTTACGGATGGGAAGATCCCTCTTCGTTATCCTCGCGGAAATAGCTCGCGAAGGAGAGAGAAAGAGGTCGTCGAGCCTTCGAGCAACGCGAACGGCATCCTCGGTAGCGGGATACCCGGCCATCGTTCGCCAACGTCCGCCTCGCGCTTTTTATTCGCGACCCTCGCGCGCGAGTTAAGGTCAATTCGCGTCACGTCGGGCCGAGAGTTCGATTACTGCCGTGCGAAACAAAGAGTCCCGGCCGATCCCTGGTCGATCGGCGCGATTACTCTTGAGAAGCGCAATTAATCGCGCGAATCGCGTTATGGGGTCGATTGGTGTTTACCGCGCGGAGGGTTTGACGCAATAAATTAACTTTGACCTACTACGAGCCGCTCGTTGCTCAAGTTCCCGACGAATGGACACCACCTGATTTATTTCGTAAGCGCTGTGTGACGGAGCGTACGTACGTACGCGCCGTTGCGTACGACGTGAACATTATTCCCGCGCTCCATAAACACGCCGCTGCCGTATTTGGCGGTGCGGCATATATAGCATATATGTACGTGAGAAAAGGGAGAGAGAGAGGGGGGGGGGGGTCCGCGTGCTGGCGCGTGAACCCTCAACGAGCGCGATTTCCTTGGATTCCACTTGCGAGCCGCAGTCGGGAGAAATGGGGAGTGCTGAGAGATTTCGCCGCGTCGAAACGTCCACGTGAAACACGCTTCGCGGAGAGCCCGCGCGAAGAGAAAGAGACATAGAGAGAGAGAGAGAGAGAGAGAGAGAGAGAGAGAGAGAGAGAGAGAGAGAGAGAAAGACGGAACGGAACAGATGATTGGACTCTGGTCCCGGTCTCGGTCTCGGATCGGATCGTCGCGGGATGCTGCCCGAGTCCGATACCGCCCACACCGTGGTGTCCGCGGGAGCGCGCCGCAGATGAGATATCGCGCCGAGCGAGAGATCGCGAGAGAGCACGCGACGCGGAGGAGAGCGGAAAAAAGCCGAGGAGAAGAGAAAACGAAACGCGCGGCGCCGCTTCTAGTCGTTGCAGCGAACGACGACCACGCCCTGCTCCTTCGCCGGTTGTGCACGCACTCTCGGTGAATCACCACCTGGTTTTCTACCTCCTCCGTAGGGTTTCTGCGTCTGGCCTGCCATAACCGGAGCAACTCCCGGCAACCCGAGAGTTCCCGCGAGGGGGAGATCAACGCGGCGCGACCGGGGGACCGGGTATTCGGACTCGAGCACCGAGAGGTAGCCTTAAGGCTTGCGTCCACGATGCTAGAACTTGGTCCAAGTTCTAATTCCGTGAAATGTGTAGCCAGTCTACTTGCAGCTGTTTCCATAAAAGCTGCACCGGCTATGCATTTCTCGAAACTAGCACTTGGACCAAGTCCTAGCATCGCGGACACGGGCCTTCACGACCGCAGAGCCTTATGTCCACGATCCAGGAACCGTGTCCAAGTTCTGGTTCCGAGAAATGTGTAGCCAGTCGACTCGCAGCTATTCCGTAAAAGCTTTTCACGGAACACGAAACGCATTTCTCGGATCTAGAGCTTGGGGCACGGTTCTTGGATCGTGGACACAAGATTTAACACCTGGCGGTGCACGATTTTACGTCCGAGACGTATTACCACAGGCCTTTCCACCGGTTTGGCCCAGGGGCAATTTACTTTTTTCCACATAGAACAAACAGCTTCGATCGAACGATCCGACGACTTTGACGTATTCGCCCGAGCCCACGCGCTCGTTTGGACAACGCGAAAGGATTTCGTCTTTTCGATCCGTGTGGGACTGCCGATCGTAACCTTCTGGAGGACTGATCATCCGATATTTACCAATGTCATAACGCCGAAAGAAATTGATTAACAGAACCGCCCGAGGCGGTCGTTGAGATCAGGCTCCGTGTCCGGTTCGTCGAATTTGCAATTTGCGAAATTTGTATGCGACTCATTAAAAAGTCGAGATACTAAGGCACAGTTTTAACTCGCATACATTCGGATTTTTACGTTATTAGTATCACTCGAACGTTTTCACGAATCGTATCTCAAAACTGAATAATCGTTCAATTCCAATCAGAATCGAGCCACGAAGAAAATCCCTCGTACGGGCTCGGCATCCAAATGTTTGATTAGCGTTTCTGGGGAATGGAGCACGTTGCGTCGATCGCGCTTCCTATTTCGTCGAGTAAGTCGGATTCGCGTGCAACGAGAACGCGGCGCGGTCGAGCTCTCGAACGCGTCATCCGATCTCTCTCCGAGTTCGCAACGGCAGGCCAGCCTGAACGAGAACTACTTAGGCACTCTCGGCCTAATCGACACACAGTCGTTTTCACGGAAAAACGCGAGACGAATAAATCTCTCGAAAAAGGCCACGAGCAGAGCGAGAGCGGTCGGCGGACGAAGATGGGCGGCGTTGCTCGACGTTTTGATTCGCGAGCGCGATTGCGAGCCGCGCATTATTCTTTATAGTCTTCCCACTAGTGTGGCCTGTGCATGTCATTCGCGTAGCACGCGTCCGCGAGCTTCTGCGCGATATTATTGCGCCCGTAAAGCCGACGGACGCGCGGAGAGCACGGCTGCGTAATATTCCCGCCGCGTAATGGCCCCCGCCGAGGGAATTACGTATCTCCGAGGGCCGGCGAGATTTATTTTTACGTCTTTTGTCATTATTTATTAGTCGCGTGCGCGCGCGGCCGAGAGAAACTTTGAATATTCAGCCGCGCGCGCGCCTACGTGAAAATACCCAAGGCTCCTCCCGCTAAAGCGACGATGATCAGCTGAAGCTGAGACCGAGCTGTGCGCTCGAAGACCGACGAGGCTCGAAAAAGGGCCCGTCCTCTGTCGCCGTTGCGTCTTCGGATAAGCTGGACGCTATAATGTGCACGCTCCTATTTGCCGTGAGGAAGAAAGAAAACGATATCTTTTTATCATCGCCACCTACGGACGGTCGGTTACCGCTTTATCGCGTCTTGCTCAATCGAGTTGTTGCTCCACGTTTAGTTGCATACGCGCGTTACACGCTCGACGCTCGTTCGACCGAACGATCCCTGCCGGCTGGCGAAAGTCGCGATTCTGGTCGATATGTAGAATTATATAGAATATGTCAAATCGGCGCGCGAGATCGTTGCGGTCTAGATTATGTCAGCAATTATAATAACGCAGCCTTCGGTAGTCAGCGACCTTCGTTACACGCCGCTTACACTACTGACGATTTATGGTAATTGGATTGTCGGCGTGTCTTTGAATCCACGGCGATCCGCCGCAAATCGTTAGCGCGGTGGTTCGCGTGCTCCTTACCCTTCGCGTCCGATACATTTTCATAAATTATCCCGGGATAATATCGGCGCCGGTCCTGGGCCGATGTCCCTCGCGACTAATTATTTCCCTCGTCCGGAAATCGATCGTCGCGACCACGCGGCCACGAGTCGGCATAAATACAGCTCGACTCGGCCGTAGCCGGCATCGAGATAACATTTATATCGGCAGACAAACGCCACTATTCACCCAGGTCGTCGCAAAAACGACGCATCGAAGACGGCGCGCCGCGTTCCGTCGAGCCTCGCACTGCGCTCATTGAACTCTCCGCAGTTTCTCTTTGTCGCGAGGTATACCGAGGTCGTTCCCGAAGCGAGCGCAGGGAATTCAAAGTAAAGGGACGGCCGCCGGATGCGGAAGGGCACAACGATGCAGCCCCGTGCGCGCCTCAGAGGCGGAATCGTCGGTGCATTGCGGTCGTGGCGTTGCGATTCCGCAATCTAAACGACGCGCGTACACCGAAATTCCATTCGCCGGCGGAACCGGCAACGATACCGGCCGCGCTGTAACGCGATACAGAAATTCGCTTCCTCACGCCGTTAATATTCGCGCGCCCTTATCTGCACGGGCACGCGGAAGCGACGCCGATCGCATCCCTTTGGTTACGGCCGCAATAAAACGGGCGACGGACAGTGCTGCAGGCTCTTCCGAGATACGAACGCGACTCCGGCAAAACTATCTGCTTCGCGAGATAAAATCGTACGAGGCGATTTAATCGCGCGGATTGCACGATGGAGCGGTTAACAATTTAGTTTCTGTCTGAAGCCAAGCCGAGATCAGCTCCATAAAACAGAAAGAAAATTAACAAAGTTGTGTTAATAGACCAATCAGAGCTCAGATTAAAATTGAGAAAAGAGTGAGAACGAGTGTCCACAGGCAAACGGCCCCATTCTTTTCGCATTCGATTTTGATCGCAAAGTAGGTGCCAAACGAAAGGTCTCGTCGAGCTGATTACAGATACGTCAGTCTCAGAGTGTACCTATTTAACGTTCCAGAGATATCGGGCTCCGAAGAATGGGCGTTACGAATGCTTTTGGCCGAACCTATTGGCTAGATTGTAGAAAATAAAAGAGCCCCAGATAATAATTCACTTAATCCGCCTCAAACTTACTTAGGTTCATAGTAAGTGCAGGACGATGTCATTAGCATCGACCATTGGGAAACCTTTTTAGTCGACTCCAACTCGGTTTTGAAATTTTTGGAGCCCGATATCTCTGGAACGTTAAATAGGTACACTCTGAGACGTGTCTGCGATCGTCTTGACGAGACCTTTCGTTTGGCGCCTACTTTGTGACCAACATCGAACGCGAAAAAAATGGGGCCGATCTTGTTCTCACTCTTTATAAAAAGTGCCGAGGAAGTTTGGCTTCGAAGAGGCTTGATTCTCAGACCGCTAGCCCGCTTTTCCAACTACGCCGTGCAGGGCTAATTGTGTCGAGATCTTTTTTCCTTGATTATTTTGCAGCCTCAAAATCTGGTCATGATGGGCCCCTTCCCAGACTGCGACGTTAAGCTGTGCGACTTCGAGATCTCGAGAGTGATCCTCGAAGGCACCGAGGTCCGGGAGATTCTTGGCACGCCGGATTACGTTGGTGAGTGACCGGTCTTCTAAAAGTCGCTCCGTATACTTAGTACTTGTTGTTTTTATTTATATGCATATCGACGGCCCGGTTTTTCATTTTCTGATTAGCAGTTAACCAGAAAGACCAGGCCTAAATGATACTCATAGGCCCGTATTCTGAATCCTCTTTTATCGATAAAAGCGCCTCTAAAAGTGGCTTGTAGCCAACCAGAAGACTTATTAGCCACTTTTAGAGGCACTCTTATTGATAAAAGAGGGCCCAGAAAAATTTTAGTACGAACAAATACATCTTGAAGACTAATTCAAGCTTTAATTTGAATATCTGAGGATGCTCTACTTAAAAAAAAAGAAGTTAACGTTAAAGTGAATATTATACATTAAAAAAATTAATTACACAAACATGAAAGTAAATAAAAATAATACAGACATATAATAAGGGGAAGATATTTTCATATGCGAAGGTATATGTTTAACAAGATTGAAAAATATCTATCAAGGGGAGAAAAAAAGTTTTAATAGCAGGACAGCCTTTCGCTATGTGGCTACTCTAGAAGAACGAAATGTTCCGATTTCCTATCGCGTATTAATGTGATTTACGATTTCGAAAGTTTAACGCGTTTCATAAATCTCTTTCGAGCACGCAACAATTCAGAGCACGCCCGTTCGGGAGATCGCCGAGAGATCGGCGCCGATAACGGCTTGACAAACTCCCTTAATCAAGAACGCAAAAATATAAATTGCCGTATTATGGCTGTCGAGAGATAGCGTGCACCGGGTATTACTCGGTGCCAAGGAGTCACCGTGAAACGTCATTTCGGAGGGGAACTCGTCCAGGTGGTACGTCCGCGCTCTTTGCTCTTTGCCGCGCGGCTTAATTGCTACCGATCATTATCTGGGTCCGCTAATTGACGATCACCGTGGCGAGATCGCAAATATAATCGATATTAATTGACACGTTAGCCTCATTGCGAGTCCGCGGAGACGCACGCCCTTAATAAAGCCCGGGGATAAGGAAGGGGGGAAGGGGAGGGGGCGTTACGCACACGCACACGCGGTGACGGCCCCCCCCCCCTCGATCCCCCCCTGCTGTAATTGACGTCGGTCTCTTCAAATCGTGCCGTTTCCAGGCAAGGTAATCGACGCGTCGTGGCCTTTACGTCGCCGAACGAAGTAAATAACAAAGTCGGACGGGCCGGGTGAATTAACGTTCCTCCTTTGTGCGATCTTTTCCTTTCTTCTCTCTCCTTCGCTCCCTTTATCTCTGTCCCTCCCGCGCGAAAATTGAGATCTCGCGCGAACAATGCTTCCTCGTCGGGCTCGTCGTAAGCCCAAATATGATTTGCAATTTAAAGCGACGCCGGTTCCCTTCGGGCTCGCCGAAAATTATTTACCGATTAATCATCGCCGGTGTCGGCTTCAATCGGTCTCGCCCGCCCACTTATCTCATTTTCTCATTCGCTGTAACAGCGAAATGTCAAGCGGCGAGGTGTCGGAGGTGGTTACCGTTACGCCCGTTAAGACAGGATGCTCCAAATCCGTCTGCTTAACAGGCAGAACCGGCGGACTACCCGCCGCGCGATTTTAATTGATGCGTGTCGCCACCGCGCACGATCGCATACCGTCTACGAAATAATAGGATCAGAGAGGTCGGCGTTGTGGGCAGTTTAAGATCGTATCGTCGGCCGAGGCAATCCGGTCTGGCGGTGATAGACCGGACCAGTCATTGCAATCGTATCTCCTCGCGCTAAACTTTTACGGGGGCTTCACGTATACAGCCAGATCGGGGCTGTAATGACGATCTTGGGCGACGAGAGCGGAGACTCCAACGCGTAGAAACATCTTCGCAGCATCATCCCGAACCTGTCCCGCGTCTCCGCGCATCAGCCCACGATTTTCATACGTAAATAAAAATGACGTTTGCGAATCCGAAGTGACGTCACGTGCGAGGTCACTGGACACGAAATAAGTGGACGTGCGGAGGAGAGACCTCGGCCACGTGAGACCGCTGAATGCTATTGTGCGTACATTTCCATATATTCAATCGTGTTTACATTTCTCTTTCAGCGCCTGAAATACTGCATTACGAGCCGATCACGCTGGCAGCCGATATGTGGTAAGGCCAAACGTCGAGTGTTTCGTTACCCTTTCTGTGCGGACGCATCGGATCGGGTTTTCTCCGTCTACGAAAAATGTCCTCTCTTCCAGGTCGCTCGGTGTCACAACCTACGTACTGCTGACGGGCTTCTCGCCCTTCGGCGGCGAGACCGATCAGGAGACCTTCCAGAATATATCCTTAGGAGAGGTGGACTATCCCGAAGAGCTCTTCGAGGATGTCTCGGCGCAGGCGAAGGACTTCGTCGCAAAGCTTTTGGTGCTAGACCCAAGGTATGATAATCGTAGGGACGACTGGCAGTGAGCGCTCGAGTCCTCTTTTCGAATGTTTTCAAACAACAGCTCTCGAATATTATTAAAAACTCGGGTATCACAAAAAATTCTGATGACTTCTAGGAGTTCGGAATATCTTGAACCTGAAGAGGTTGATCGTCGTACACTGATTCGATATGTTCTCGAGTCCATCAGCGTACGACTCGCGCTTAGGTTTTTTCAAAGAAATTAAGGTGTGAATTTTATTTCCGTTTTTATTCCCCAAGTGCACGGATGACCGCGAAGCAATGCCTGCGCCACGACTGGTTACGCGGCGCCCCAACGCAAGCGTCACCGCATCTGCGAAGGTACTTGTCCAAGTCGCGGGAGGTTCTTCTGGAGCGCGTGGTCAGTCGTGAGAACCTGAGGAGGGCCGCGCTGATGAGCCAGACGACCAGCCAGGCGAGTCTCTGCCAAGGGGACGTCCAAAGCGATCAGAACTATCAGCAGCACCGTCAACAGGGCTTACAGGATTGCATGCTCAGTCAAAGCGAAATGTGCTTGAGCCATCGCCTGACTGGAAGTCGCTCGAGTTTGGTGGGTAGCGAGGGATTCGCCAGCTCGGCGGATTCTCAGGCCAGCCTGAACTCCTCCAGAACCAGCCTGAGCTGCGCGAGCCAGAGCTGTCTGCTGAATCAAGAACAGACGCAGGGACTGCTGAGTAAAGCTCAGAGCCGATCTCAGGCTAATCTGAATCAGGGCCCGAGCCGCGGTATACTGTCGAGAATACGCAGTCTGAATCACGTTCAGTCTCAGGCGTGTCTACTGAACGGATCTTCGGCGATCGGTTGCGAGCGTGCCGGTGCCGTCGCTACGATGAACCCTGTAATCAGCAAGTCCCGCGAGAAACTGTACGGTTTGAGGTCTTTGTCAAAGTCCCAGGGTGTCCTGGATATCTACAGAAGTCTGGAATGCCTGAAGCGGCGAAGAAAGAGCTACCAGCGCGCGAGGACCGAGGACATGTTGCCGATTTTCAAGCAACTCGGCGCCGAGATCGCGTCCTCCAGACTCACACCCTCGGCCAGCGACGACCGTCTGGTCGTTGACGTAAAATCGGAGGTCGATTTAACATCCTGTAAGATCGATCGGAAGTTTGAGCAACATGTGCAAACTGCTTCGTCGAGAGACGCGAAGACACCAAGCGAGTTTAACAGCGGCGATCGGAGTCACTCGTGCGTCGAGTTGAATAATGATTCGCAACGCACGGCGAAGAACGCGGAGTCGCAGACCCCGAAGAAGCTCGCCTCGGAATCCGAGGAGAATCTAGATTCCCTCAAGTCCGTCGAGTCGGACACCCTGACGGAGGATTCCGACGAGATGCCGTTGTGCCGTAACGCGGCGCCCGCCAACGTGGACAAACGTCCCTGCGAACGTCAACATTCCGACGTGTCCAGCCGTTCCAACAACTCCGACGACAAGGAAGACCGCTCGACGGAATCGGAGAACGAGGAGCCCAAGTACACGGTGGCGCAGTTGGTCTCCGCCTTCAACAAGCACCAGGAAGTCGCCTCGAAGACGAGTCTGAGAGCAATCATGTCCGAGAAGCGGATCAACGAAATGACATTCCCGACCGGCACGAAGGCGTTGCGTCTCTTTATCCCGGACATTAACATCACCGAAAGTAAGATCGTCAGGCGAAAAACGAGCTACAAGCCGCGAAAGAATTGGGAGGAGCTCAGGAAGCGCAACGAGAAGAACGAGGGCGTCTTGAAGAGCCTCGATAACGATTCCGGCAACGAGGATGACGACAACGAAGACGAGACTCGAGACAGCACACAGAACGATCTCACGACGGACGAAAGGGATTGCTCAAGGAATACCGAGGAAAGTGTTATCGATATTTCGCAGGGCTTAATAACTCAGGAGGAAGACACGAGTTTATCCTTGGACGGATGGTCGCTCTTGCGACCTGAGGAGAGCAATGGCCAGAGTATCTTCGTCGACAACGCGGGCACTCAGAACAGCCTCGACACTACGATAGACGAGAAATACAAGCAATGCGTGAAAGGTGCTATGTCCGGTAAGATGGAAACGCAGATGGAGGATAAAAATGTAGAGAAATATCCAAAGCCACGAGAGGTGCAGCCGAAGATTACCGTTTCGTTACGTCAGAAGGAGAGATTACCTAATTATATATATCCGGACATAACGATCGCGGCCAAAGACGACAATCGCGAGGCCTCTAAAAAGACTGTCGTCGCGTCTAATGGAAAACCCGGGCCTAGAGTACCCAAGTTCGATCGTACCAAACCGAGTTTTGGTGCTGACTCCGCGAACGTAAATCTCAAGGATATTCTGCAGCGGGTGGACAATTCCCAAAGTACTTCCAAAGAAAATCTAGAAAATCTGAGGAAAAGGACATCGATCGCAAAAATTATTTTAAACGACAATCTCGTTCATGACAATCAAGACAGTGGTCTCGGCGGTTGCAGGATGAATTCTCGCGCAAAGAGTGAACCGCCCTCGAACGAGGATAATCAGTCGGAGGACCGAATGAAGCTGACGGTACCGCCGTCTTTCATCCGGTCCTCCTCTTTGTCCAGCGACAGCAGCTGCCCCACGCCGTCCAGCGTGCAATCTGACGTAAACGTATCGTGGGAGGATGTCCAGGTCGCCACGGGCTCTAGCACGTCTCTAGAAAAGGAGGACGTTTGCAGGGTCGCGAAGAAGAGCGACGTCCAGCGAACGTGCAGCGAGGGAAGAAACAGGCAGTGCGCGGAGGACCGGAGAGTCTGGGGGCGGATCTGCATCGGCTCCTACACCAGGGCCATGGAGAAGTTTAGCGGCAAAAATATAGACGCCGCGAAGAAATCGCTGGGTTCAACGATCCTCGCGCAACAGGCAGAGAAGACTAGGAGAAAGAGCAGCCCCGCGATGCCGCAATGTATAAATCCTTAAGAATCTTAATCTTTAGACGACCGCAATCTAAAGTATATACGTTGCAATACAATTTGGATGAGAGACCCGAGGTCATAAATATATATCCACTTAATGTTCCTGAAGGAATAGCGAATGCTAAGACTGGAGTCGACGCGATGCGAATTGCAGTAACGCGAAAATCGAAGTGAGGAGAAGATCGATACTATTTTTTTTTTCACGTCTTCACAAGGCAAGGGAGAGATAATCTCTCGCGGCCTTGGCAGATGACCGTGAATGCGAACCTTGAGCGATTCATGGGCACTAGGAACTCCGTTGCAGTGCCACGCGCCGACATCTCCGATCGAAGCGTATCGACGCGGCTTAATGACACGGAGACACGTGTCAGCGATTTTACTGACCGTCATTAACGTCCCACTCGATTGTGTCACGCACATGATCAGTGGCTCCAGCGTCATCCCTTTGGCTTAATTACCATATTAAGGGAATACTTATTCTTGTTCACGCGCGTGCACACCGCCCAGGATGGTGTCAATGAGGATGGTGAATATAATTTTAGGAAAACAAGGGCATAGTGGATGAAGTAGAATGTAGTTTGAATTTCTGGCATATATCGTCTCAGTTACGCCATACTACGTTTTCTAAAAAAAAAAAAAAAAATTCATAAACTATTCTTAAATTTTTTTGCGCAAGATCTCTAACAACCTTTGGAAGTTGCACAGTTTTGATATTTTTTTAATACATATAGGGATCAGATTACTTTTCTCTTTTCTTTTTCAACAAGTACTGTACGTATTGTATTTTTCATACATGTGTAACCCATTAATAAACTGAGACTAAAAAAATAAACACCGTTCTCTTTAACGGCGTAATTATCAGAAAGATAGCCACGATCACTTTTGTAAGACGTAATTAGGGATATGATTGTGAAATGAAAAGGACCACAGCAGATACACGATCACGGCCACGGCTCCTTATGGGATAATTATAGAGTGATTCACTCTAAGTAAATTGCGTGCGCGCGCTTTCAAAGATGCGATTACAGATCGATGCAGGAACTGCACGCGGTTTGACCTCCGCGGAATTGCAGCAAAATAAAATTAATATGTCGCTGACGGAGTTATAAGCCGGGATCGGATTGGTGATCAAGTATCAGGCATGAGTATGACTAAAGGCGGGTAGCGTTAGCTCTTTCATACGAATTGGTAAAATTAAATTTTATTGTAATATAAAACAAGTCTCAGTTCATTATCGATATAATATAATTATACAGCTGCTATAATATGCACAAATAATAGTATACTAACTTGATCACTCCCATCGACTTTTTCGCACTCTTTTGCGTTCCGGCACCGAGGAATTGGAAGCTTGGCTCTCTGGCGTCGCGGGCTTCGGCGGTGGAACGGTTGGCGGTGGCGGCATTATCACGGAAGGTGGTGTGATCGTCTGTTCCCAGGTGTGATCCGATGACGCCCGGAACTACAGTATCAAGATTATGTCAGAGATATATTCGTACTTTTTAAAATTTCGCGAGATGTGTACACATTTTATAGAAGTAACTACGACTACGTGTCCTACCTGAGAATTATATTGACTTCGAAAAGCGGCTTTCATAGCGGAGAGTCTGTCGCTACCAGGTCCGTGTCTTTCTAATTTTTTAACAACTTCGTTGATATCTTTGGACGCTTGCGACGTTGAGCCACCCTATGAATATACAATTATCGCCTTAATTGTTCTAGAAGATAATTAAGTATAGTACAGATTATTTATGATGCATACCGAATTCGATGAATTGGGTCTGCCTCTGAAACCAAGTCCTGCACCACCGATATTTAAACTCTTTCCTTTGCCACCTTTGAACCTTGATTTCCTGAACCACGCGCTTTGCATAGCCAAATCCATCAAGCTCTTTGGTACTTCCTGATTTGCTCCCTCCAAGTTTCTCACCAAGTGTCCGGCAAACTCCTTATCCTTTTCCGTTACAAGGGTATACGCCGTACCCTTTTCACCGGCTCTTCCTGTTCTCCCTATTCTGTGCGTATGCGTGTCGATGTCTCGCGCTACGTCGTAGTTGACAACAGTCTTGATATGTGGAATGTCCAAGCCTCGCGCTGAAACGTCACTAGTTAAGAATTCCGCATACATACAGGCTTTTAGTATTAGCAGTTTTAATTACCGGCAACATCAGTGGCGACCAAGGTACTGACATCCTTTTTCTTAAAAGCCGTAATCACTTTATTCCTCTCAATTTGATCCATGTCACCGTGCAAAAGCAATACATCAAACTCTTTCAGTTTGAGATTGTTGGCAAGTTCTTCCGCGTTTAGCTAATGCAAGGGAGAAACATACAAACTTAGATTACACATCCCCATCACATTGTACTAACACTTATGGGATGCTTAGTTTTCGCACCTTCTTGGTGACAAAGATCAAGAGGCTGCCGGCGCTTAGGAACTCAACCAAGTTCTGCAACAGCCAGTTCCATTTACCACTAGGATTGTTATGGAACATGATAACATGTTGCGTCACGTCGGTGTTAGCTTCACCGACATCTCCTTGTACTATCCTAATGGGATCCGTCAAAACGTCCCTAGCGAGCTTCTCCACTTTCTTTTTGAACGTCGCGCTAAACAGCAACGTTTCTCTGTCAGGTCTCACGTGGTTACAAATAGATCGTACTTGTGGTTCTGTAAACAGAAAGATTCATCAGCAACATTCTCTCGGTGTGTATTAGTGTGCGTTTGCTTACCAAATCCCATGTCGAACATTCTATCAGCCTCGTCCAGAACAAGAAATGTAACTCTAGTTAAACTCGTTGCTTTCATCTTAACCAAATCGATCATTCTACCAGGGGTAGCGACTACGATCTCCGCGCCGCTTTCCAGCGCTTTGCTCTGTTCCCACTTACTGCCACCTCCGTAGCAACAGCATACCTGGATATTGTAAACCTTTCCGAACTTCTTTGCTTCTTGATAGATCTGCAAACAAAGTTTGCGGTTTAGACTCTGATCTTTGAACAGTGTTGTCTGCGCGGTAGAAAGGACTAGATTATACCTGTTGAGACAATTCTCTCGTTGGCGCCAAAATCAGACCAATCGGGCCATCTCCAGGCTTCAGCTCGCGCTGATCCATAATATGCACCAACATCGGCCAGATAAACGCCGCAGTTTTACCGCTACCGGTCTTGGCTATGCCTATTATATCCCGTCCGCTCAAGGCGGCGGGCACCGCCTGCGCCTGAATAGGCGTGGGCTGCGTGTACTCATTTTTACGAATAGTTTTGATCAGCGCGTCGTCAAAGCCAAAGTGCCCGAAGCTCGTGACCGGATTCGGCGGGGACGGTCCGGATACCTTTATGCCCAGAGTCTTTCTCAAGTCGTCGACCTGCTGCTTACTTAAACTCGCGATCTCTTCGTGCACATTATAAAAGTTCTTCTCGAACGGCTCGTATTCTATCTCGCTGTGATCGACCGGAGGCAGCGGATCGATCTCCTTCTTCTTCGGCGGTGCGATTGGATTGCCATCCTCGTCGTACTCGATCTCTTGATCCGACTCTTCTTGCTGCAAACCGGCAGTTGGATTCTCCTCCATATATCTTTGGGGCAGAGCAAAGATAGATATCGTATATATCTTACCATAATTTTACATCAGACATGCGACCGGCGATATCCAATAAACCTCGTACCTGTAGTAACTTTCCTCGTCGTCCTCCCCGTCAATGTCCGCCCGAAATCCTTTAGGTTTGTCCTCCTTACAACTATCGCCGCGCTGCGCCGCGCAACTGTTCCGCTTCACTTCCTCGTCGATACCGACCATGAAGGCGTCCAGCGGGTCCTCCTCGCTGTCGCTCTCATCCTTCTTCGCAGACTTTTTCAGCAGGTCGTACGTGGGAGAGCCGGGCGCGGGTATGTACTCCAGCGACGAGGTCGGGGGTTCGTCATCGTCCTCGAAGTACCTGGGGATCGTAATGCTTAATATATCTGATTCCCAGAGTTAGGAAAGTTACTTTATAAAAAATACCTAGAGTGCGTTCCGTTTCATGCACGATGTACATAATGCATCATTTATCCTTCTTCAACATTTGGCGAATACCAAGGATAAATGATGCATCATGCGCATCGTGCGAGAAACGGAACGCACCCCTAGTCACAGTTGCTCAAAAAGTAATGCCCGTTCTACACCCAGGGATGATCCTACTTGTGGCTCATCCGCGCGAGTAAATAAATTGACAAAGATCGCGGTATTGAGACAGTTTATGGAATACAAAAGCCATATTTAGCCTGCGTTCGTTTTCTCCCAGTGGGAGCATAAACTGCACTGAAAGTCTATAATTTACGTAACGTAAACTATAGAGTTTCAGTATAGTTTATACTCTAGTACATTTTATTGATTTCCCCTTAGGGTCACAAGGCGTTTTCGAAGGAACGTGCCCAAACCTCTTATAACACCTCTCTCTATATCCACTTCGCTATGTGGCGATCGAACGAAAAACCAACAACGTTTTTGTTTGGTTTTGAACCCGGGCCTTCGGATTACCAGACCAGCGCACAACCCTCTGCGCCACGATCGCCAATATAGTTTATACTCCCAGTGGGAGAAAACGAACGCAAGCTTAGTATGATAGTCGTACACTGAAATGCCCGTGTAAGAAAAAAAAACAAAGAAACTGCAACCCGCGTTAAGCCTTGTGTCCACGATGCTAGGACTTGGTCCAAGTTTTAGCTCCGAGAAATATACAGCCAATAAACTTGTAGCTTTTACGGAATAGCCGCAAGTTGATCGGCCACATATCTCTCGAAGCTAGAAACTTGGACCAAGTTCTAGGATCGTGGACACAGGCCTTTGCCCCCCAACCCTGCCGGTCTCCCTGCGCCGCGGGCCGCGTAGAAAACGACACTAACTCTTCCTCGGTCTTGCTGCGCTTCTTCGGCATGCCCCAGCAGGCGGACAGGGCGTTCTCCGTGATGGCGTTCATCGTGTGATAGCCCTGCTTGCTGAGGGTGGAGTTCGGCGGCGGCGGCGGCACGTTGGTGCCGCTTCTCTTCGCCCCGGACACCTGGAAGCCGGTGAAGCCGAAGCCCTTCGGCTTGCTGCCGCTACCCCGATGATAGCTCATTGCGCTGGGCTCTGGCGAGATAAAGCTAATTAGTGCCCCGCGTCTCTCCGATACATTGCCGGCGACTCTCCGGCGAGAAGCCGCTCGGGTTAACCTCTGTTGCGCGATCGGACGCAACACCGAGTCGTCGCGCGGACAAGCGAAAGCGGCGCGACACGTATTTGCGTGCATACGCGAGGCTCGATGTGCGTCTCGTTCGATCGATTATCGCGTCAAATCGATGACAGCGGGACTTGACGCGAGTAGCGAGTCGCCTACTCGCGCGATTATCGCTCGGAGCGGGTGGGGGGGGGGGGGATCGAAGGTTAGGACGCGAGCTCTGGAGCGCCGTCAACGTGACGGCGCGCGGTGAATTTCGGCGGGGGCGGCGGGATCGCTTCGCGGGCGAAGTGACGGAAACTCCACGCAGCCGGGCGACAATCACCTCTCGCAATCGCGAGCTCGCGGCTCCGCACGCACTCGCTCCGCAGTCCCGAACGACGAGGATCTTGACTTTAGTCCGGGCGAGAGGAGAGAAAAAAACAGTCACCGTCTACGCGGGGCGTCGGGCGGCCTAGGCGGCTCGCTCGCTCGCCGCGCGACGGCGCGGCGAGCGGCGGCAACATGGCGGACGCGCGGCGCGCGTCGTCCAGTCGCCGCGCTACGGCGGCGCCCGCGTCCGCTTGCTCGCTCATTTCTCCCGATGCCCTCGTCGAGTCGCGTGGCTCCGAGCGCGACGAGAATCCCCGAGCGAGCGTGGCACGGGCGACGCAGCTGACGGCACGAGCGAAAAGAGAGAGAGAGCGAGAGCGAACGAGGCTCTCGGTGCGAGCTCGGTCTCGTCGCGGCAGGAGGAGCGGTGGAGGGAGAGGGCGTACGTTTTGACGTACGGTCAGTCGCCGTTGACGCTGGTCGTGTCATTCGTAGAGGCGCAGGTCGGCCGGCGCGGCGCGCGGACGACGGTGCGCCATCCGTGAGAACGTCGCCGTCCGCTGTTCCCTAGGCCCACCCGAGTGCGCGCGGATTCGTGCGAGAGTGTGTGCGCGCGCGTGTGTGCGTGCGTGTGTCTAGTGTGTCCGCGTGCGCGCGCGCGCGCGCGTGCATGTGTGCGTGTGTCCGTGCGCGATCCGCGGTGGGCCAGGATGGATTACGTGCAGATAAAGGACATCCGCGCGGGCCAGAAGAACATCAACGTGGTGTTTATCGTTTTGGAGGTTAGTCACCCCACCATCACCAAAGAGAACCGCGAAGTTCGAACGTTCAAGGTGGCCGACAGCACCGCCTGCATGAACGTCTCCATCTGGGACGAGCCCGGCCAGCTCCTGATGCCGGGCGACATCGTGCGGCTCACCAAGGGCTACGCGTCCGTCTGGCGGCAGTGCCTGACCCTGTACTCGGGCAAGAACGGCGACATCCAGAAGATCGGCGAGTTCTGCATGGTAATTAACGAGCAGGTCAACATGAGCGACCCGAACCCGCTGCTGGGGCAGCAGCTGGTCAACCAGAGCGGCTCGGGCCCGCCCAGCAGCAACGTCAACAACAGCATCACCAACAACGGCAACGCCAACAGTATCCCGGCCCAACCTGGACGGCAACCTCCGGTACATAGACTCCGTCTAGAGCATCGCTCTCTCTCATCCGCGACGATTCCGCCGGCGAGGCAGCGCGACACTGCGCCGAGTTTTATCATTTTCTCGCCATCGCCCCGTCAAGTTCTCCCGCGCCGACTTGTCAGATTGCGTTGGTCGGCTCCTCTAAATTTGGTAGTTTGCGATTTGCAAGGGCGAGAGGCGAGCGGAGCGATTCCTCCGGATGTTCAGGGCGCAGTCTCGCACGGTGTCTTCGCCCTTTAACAGGCGAAGACAGCCAGCGTTTAACACGTCTCTCGTCTAGACAGACCCTTTCATGACCGAATTATTATTTTAAGTTTCTGTCTTTGTTGTGTTTTTTTAGCGAGACACTAGCGTCCCGAGGAAGCAGAAAGGCGAAAAGATGTAAGCGGGGCAACTTGTCCCCACTGGTCATGATAGGGTTAAGAGCCGCTTAGATATCCGTAACAGACATCCAAGGAACAGACGCAAAGCCTAGAAATACAGATTAGAGGAAAACGTGAAAAATATGAGTCGTGGCTTTTGCCTCTCTATCACTTTTTTCTTTTATCTAAAATTTTATCCCTTTTATCTAAATTTCAACTACTCGTAAGTTAACGCTGATCAAGTATTTCAAGTTTTCAATTTTGTTCCAACGTGAATTTCTAACGTTTGGAAGTACTAGTTTACCGATCACGATCGTTTGTAAATAAGCTACTGTAATGCATCGTGTCAAGTCCTACTCTACGTTAGGACCGCGAAGAATTAACATAGCTTGAGATTAAAATCACCTCCCCCGGGATAACATCCCGCCGTCTCGACAACGTCGAGCATTCAGCCTATTCCGATGAAAAGAAATGCAATCTGTCGTAGGCAAGTCAAAGCAACGCAACGGCTCCCAGTAGCGGGTCTGCAACGAGTTCGACGACCGCCAAGAGCGGAAACGGTGGCGGTAGTGGAAACGGCAACGGTAATAGCACGAGCAGCAGCAGCGGTGGCGGCAGCGGTAGCGGCAGCGGCTCGGGAGGTTCAGCGCGATACTCCTCGTCGGAATCGACAGCGAAGTCGGCGCCGACGACCAAGAGCAACTCGCGCGGACGCGGCAGCTACAGGAACGGCGGGCGCAGCGACCGGAGATAACACACGAGAAAGAAGCGGCTGATTATATGCGTGTAAACGAGCGAACGAACGAATGAATGTGGTGCGCGACAGATCCGCGCGACTGTAATATGTTGTTTTCTTTTTTCTTCTCTTTTTCTTTTTGAATTCCAGTTCCAGACGCGCGTTTTATCAAGCCGGGGAACACTACGTATCGGGCGCAACGGGCGATCGTCGCGAGGTATTCCCTGAGAACGAGCACGCGAACTTTCGTTTGTCTCGGTAGTGGACACTCGATTCCACCTTCTCGAGCAATTCTGTTATGGATATTTCGAATCGCTTCAGGCATTTAAAGTAAAAAATTGTAATCTCAGCAAATGTACATCTTTTCAAAAACACTGAGAGCCACAATAAAAAAAAGTCATATTACTGTTAGCAAAAGCTGTAGTTAATATTCATTGAGATAAGAATGTTACTGTTGCTTATTTTCGAGACGTTTAAGAAAACTGTTGTGAAATGTATTAAAATTGTCAAATTTTTTTAATTGATTTTATAATTAAGGTGTTGTTTTTTTTTGGAGTTCTATTTGATTTTATATAATATTTGTGAAGTGATTCGAAGAACGTGAGTTCATTGATACGCAAAGATTTGATTAACGCCGCAATTGACGATTAACTGTGGTATTCACAGCTCAAAACTGTTATTCCTGCAATTGGAAGTGTCTCGCCTCTAAGGGAATTTCTCAAGAGTATTTAGCTGAGTCAATTCCTCTTTGTTCTTTGTTCGTGGCATATCCTTATTGGATATGCAGGGTGACGCTTAATTACATACAACAAAAAGACAAGTACAACGCATTCGATATCTAAGAAAAGAAAAACATTAATATGGTGCTTCATTGGTACAAAATTGTCTCGTATTGATACAATGGGACCGAATCACTTAAAATTTCGGAAACGGAAAAGAGAGATGTCCGTCAAAGTAGACGAATGTTCTTAACATCTCACAGATTTGAAATGCATTGTGTGGGCAAAACAGATTCTAGTCAGTTGCACGTATTATTTGAACGTTTATTTGAAGCAACTATTGTCAGGAAAAAGATGCATATTATATGAAATGCTGTTACAACTAGATGTTTAGGAAAGTACTTTTGTCAATTTAAAATATTATATTATATCATGCATATTTACTTAATGTATGTGATTAAAAATCACCCTCTCCTGTATGCATATAGTAAGTTTTATATGATCTGTCGCGCGAATATTCGTATCCGAATACATTAAACATTTTGAGTTTATTCTGACAATTATTCTGGTGGTAACTACTCAATTTTAAACGACGCAGATCAGTTATTTACTTTGAGCAGTTCGTACATGCAATCGGGACCGACAGAAATGTTACATTGTAATAATAACAAACAAATTACATGGTGAAAATAAAAAATAGAAAAAAATTAGATTTGGAAATCTCTTCATTTGCTTGGCGATTAATTCCTTTCATAATTTTAAATATGTGTCAGATTAATTTTTATTTCGACTAAAAATACCATTAGATCAATTCGCGGTGGAACTAATTTCAATCGCGTTATTTACGGAGTGACAGTGTGCATTGCTATCTGGGATAAAAAAGCTACGAGCAAAATTCAACTCAAGGGATTCAGTAATTTTTTGTCTTATTTCTATACAAAAATATATAAAGTTAATATTAAAAGTTTGTATTGGTATATTAACAAATAGTTCAGTAATTCTCAAAATAATTATGTAAAAGAGATTGAAAGATATAAATAAATATAGAACTGCGACAACACAAAGAAAGTATGAACTGGAAGGTATAAAAATAAATTTCTGTTCAAAAGATTTTGTTTTCTTCATAGACAATAAAGAAAAATGCACAATCAAAAAGTACAACTTTTTCCCTAAAAAGCGTTTTTTTTAACTTTTCTATGATTTTTTTGACTGAGTTACATGACTTTGAATTCAACCATTATTTTCTTAAAAACTAACGACCTGTGTCCACGATGCTAAAACTTGGATGGAACTTTATGCAGGATTCACGCTGGATCCGATATCCAATATAAGGTGCCTTTTATACTTTTAAACCCAACAAGGAACCAAAAGTAAAAACCAATCATATTAGATATCGATCCAGCGTGAATCGATCCTGCATTAACAATCGAAAAACCTTGTATCAGTATATCCGATTCTCAATATTATTGCCAAAAAGTACTTGACAGTTGTTGCAACATCAGTGCCTTCAGAGAGATTATTCTCAAGGGCTGGCAATATTCTGACAGACTCCAGAAACCGACTTTCGCCGAATCATCTACAACAATTGTTGTTTCTAAATTCATTGTCCATTGAAGATTGGCAATTGAAACAATAATTGTTGTAGATTAATAAAGCACAAGTATTCCATCATTGAGAGAATTGCACCGAGCACGATGATCCTTCCAAGAGTCCTTGTTCTCTTCGTACACCTGCTTCACCAACTGTAATATTTTCCTTTCAGCGAAATTATTAAAAATAAAACATTTTTATATAGTTATGTGTAATTAGTTTTTAATATAAAATTTTTTTAAATTTAAGACCTAATTATTTAATTGGACGGTTATTACAAAACTTTTCATGCATGAGCATGTGCATAAAATTATACATCAAATATGTGGTACTATAGCGCATCCTATTACTGTTTGTTCAGGTCCTGATTAGGATGACATCAGGCAATTTTTATCAGGGGCGCACTATTAGTACCTATTCAGGTCCAGATAAAGATATTATTATTTAATCCTTATCAGGCGCACCCTATTACTGTTTGTTCAGGTCCTGATTAGGATTACATCAGGCAATTTTTATCAGGGGCGCCCTATTAGCATCTATTCAGGTCCAGATAAGGGTGATTTCAGGAAAACCCTTTCAGGCACACCTTACCTTCACATGGTAAGGCCCTGCTCGTGCATCAGGTATGCCTGGCTGAATTTCTGCTTGGGTTCCAGCGTCACTCGTGATTTCTGCGATCTGCTGCGATCCGTGTGAGGCTGAGCGAACTGATCTGAATTTAAGAACGTTAGATTAGAGGCATTGATATTCACAACTCTGAATATATATGATACTCACGATGGAGCAGGTATGTATAACATATACACACATATATATGTCAGTATGTTAGACCGCATGGTCCAGGACCTCTCTCAATTTTCATGTATTAACAGAACGTCTTCCTAAAACTGTATAATGCTCTTTCGAAAAATACCAACGTTCGAATTTGCTACTCGTTCTAAGTTGCAAATACTTAAAGGCTGGTCTAAGATACGTGGAGTAAGCCGGGAGTAGGAGTAACGATCTTGGCGTAAGATGCTTACGATATTTTCTACAACGGCGGTGTAAGCGTCGAAATTACAATTGAGATTGCGTTCCAAATATCTATAGTTCACGTTAATGTATTATAGATTAGTAGCACTTGTGGTAAATTTTTGAACACAAGAAAGTAGAGGCAATACTGGCAATGTCGATAGTTGGAGGTTAGGTGGACCAGCGTAACCATGAGCGTAAGGAGTGGAAGTAGGAAAATAAGCGCTGGTCTACAATACGTGGAGTAAGGAGTAAGGGAGAGCCCTAACTTGTAGCTTTTGGTGTAAGGAAGCTGAAATACGGGCATAATTTTTACAATATTTGTAACACTGATTGATGGCATTTTGATTCACCGAGAGTAAGCCTAAGAGCTCAAGTAGGAGTAAGAAATAAAATGGATTTATTTCCTTGCACCAAAAGCTAGAAGTTAGGGCTCTCCCTTACTCCTTATGCGTGGTCTACAATACGTGGAGTAAGCGTGGAGTAAGGAGTAAGGGAGAGCCCTAACTTCTAGCTTTTGGTGTAAGGAAGCTGAAATACGGGCATAATTTTTAAAATATTTGTAACACTGATTGATGGCATTTTGATTCACCGAGAGTAAGCCTAAGAGCTGAAGTAGGAGTAAGAAATAAAATTGATTTATTTCCTTGCACCAAAAGCTAGAAGTTTAGGGCTCTCCCTTACTCCTTACTCCAGCTTACTCCATGTATTGTAGACCAGGGCTAATAGTGCTCGGCTTGATTCCCTCATGAGACGGCGCATTAAAGATAAAAGGGAAACGACCGCCTTCAGAACAGGAACGCGAATCTCCGAACGTTCGCGTTCATTAATAATAACTTTCCTGATTCCTACTCCTACTCCTTACGCCAGGCTTACTCCACGCATTGTAGACGACGTATAACATTCATGAAATACATGTTCCGATTGCTTAATCATACTTGCCTCTGATCTCGATATCTGTGCTCGTTTTATAGGACCTGAAAGCTAGAATTGATCAGGCTTGTCGTACGGCGGAGGAATTTACAAAATTGTATTACGAATCCTTGGACAAGCGGAGATACGTAAGTAACGACATTGTCAAAAATGTACTCTTTCTTAACTACGTGTTTTAATTTTACGTGTATTCTTCAGTTGATTTCAAGAATGTATATGGACAGCGCTACCCTAATATGGAATGGAAATGGCGTTTCGGGGAAAGATGATATACAAAAATTTTGGACGGACTTCCCAACCTCGGAGCATACTATACAGACACTCGATGCTCAGCCAATTACAGGTAAGTACTGATAATTGTAGTATTCTTAAATAAACTATATTCATTTTATTTATTGTAACGTTATTGACTGTCAATGATCAAGCTTCTAATCGACCATTATCTCAGCCAGGGTTTGAATCTGGACCTCCCTAAACTCTAGGCGGGCGTCTCACCAATTCGAGGCATATGCCTCGGTGGTCGAATTGGTGAGACGCCCGCCTAGAGTGTAAGGAGGTCCAGGTTCAGACCCTGGCTGAGGTAATATTTTTGTAATAAATTTTCCGTGTTAAAAAACACATCGCCAGTTGTGGTCGATTAGAAGCTTGATTTTATAACGTAAATTTTTAACTTCTCAAGTATATTCTTAGTCGTATTCGAATAAGGTCTCATTAATACTTTCTAGTGAGAAATGATTAATATTCAAAGATATTAAAGTGATCTATACTTGATACATTTCATGTTGATTCAGCATAGCCTTTTCAATCGTCATTTTTCACTGGGTTGTACGTAACATAAGGATGATTGTATGTTTATATTTTATATATGAACCTTTATCTTTATAATACACCAGTTATCATCTGTTTGTTATATATAGGTCCAGAGGTAGCCACCCAATTAACGTTTCTCGTCAAAATCGGCGGCCAAGTAAAATACGACGACAGGAATTTCAAACAGTTTAACCAGACCTTTTTAGTTACGGCTGTGGGCGATAAATGGAAAATTGTTAGCGACTGTTTTCGAGCGCAAGAAATATTAGATAACAATACAAGTTAGTATACTTGTAGCTCTGCTTTGTTAACTAGGTTAAGTTAAGTTAGGGTGTTTTAAAAATGTAAATATATTATGGGCTTGTTTTCTCTTGCTACACTGGTGAACCGGGGCAAGAAGTTCAAGTATATTTTTTCTCATTTTAGCTTACTGCACTAGTTCACGGTGCAGCAATAGAAAACAAGCCTTATGTATGATGTACAGTTTAATGTTTACTTTCAAAAATTTATATCTGGTACACACACATAAATATATACATATATAAAACAAGATTAACAACTCTTTATAGATACATTTTATTGATTCCCCTTAGGGATACAAGGCGTTTTTGAAGGAACGTGCCAAAACCTCTTATAACACCTCTCTCTATATCCACTTCTCTATGTGGCGATCGAACGAAAAATCAACAATGTTTTGTCTGGTTTTGAACCCAGGTCTTCGGATTACCAGACCAGCGCACAATCCTCTGCGCCACGATCGCCACTAACTTATTTATAAAGATTAACAATAAGTATATTTATTATTATTATATATATATACCATATTGCTATCAAGGCTGGTCTACAATACATGGAGTAAGCTGGAGTAAGGAGTACGAGTAAGGACATACATCCATTTTCTTTCTTACTCCTACTTCAGCTCTTATGCTTACTCTAGGTGCATCAGAATGCCATCCACCAGTCTTCCAATTATTTTAATAA